GGGGGCATCTCCAGTAGGGGATGGGAGGAGGGGAAAGTCTCAGCAGCTTCAGGACACTTGCATATGCCCTTCCCACATTCCTGCCCCTGGATGTCCATCCTGGCCTCATCCCCTATCGCTTGTCTGTGGTGAAGACTAGTTATCCAGTATGGTACCTCCTCCAGGAAGCCACCCTGATCTCCCCACACCACATCACTAACCAGAGACTTCCAGTACACTAACCTTTTTACTCACAGCTGCCTGGTTTTTAATCTACTGTTGTGTGACAAGGTGGGGGTGGGGCTTTGTGTCTTAGTCATTGTTATGTCCCTAGGGTCTTCCTAGCATAGAGCCAGGCAGAGAGCGAGGTATTTGTTGAATGATTGGATGAATGTATGAGTGAGTGGGAAGATGAGTAATGGATGGATGGGCAGTGGAGGGAGAGAAGGATGAATGGGTTAGGTGAGTAGGGCTGGATAGGTGGAGGGGTAGGTGGATGGATGGATGGACAGATGGGTGGTTGGATGGGTTGATGGATGGATGGATGAACAGACAGGTGGTTGGATGGATGGATGGATGAATAGATGGATGGGTAGACAAATGGACAGGTAGATGGGTGGATGGCTAGAGTGATGGATGGATGGATGGATGGATGATAGTAGATGGATGAGTAGACAAATGGACAGGTAGATGGGTGGATGGATGGAAGGATAGATTGATGGATGGTTGGTTAGATAGATGGATAGATGGATAGGTTGATGGATGGTTGGTTGGATGAATGGATGGATGGATGGATGGATAGTAGATGGATGAGTGGACAAATGGACAGGTAGATGGGTAGATGGATAGATGGATAAACAAATAGGTGGACTGTTGGGTGGGTGAATTTATTGGTGGGTAGATGGACACGTGGAGGAGCAGGCTGATGGATGGACAATCAAACGATGGGTAGGAGATGGATGAATGGCTTCCAGATGATAACTGGCCTTACAGACATAGGCTATACTAATGGATGGACAGAGAGACAGACAAGTGATGGTGCAGGGAGCAGATCTGTGGAAAGTCAGATCTGCGATTGCAGAGGGGATGGATGGAAGCATGGACGCCTCCTGCTGAGCACTGACTGACAGTGCTCTGTCCTCCCCACAGATGACGAGCGCATGCTGGTGGAGCCTGCCTGCGGTGCCTCCCTGGCTGCCGTGTACTCAGGCATCCTGAGTAGGCTGCAGGCCCAGGGCCACCTGAACCTTGCGGGGGCCCCTGTTGTGGTCATCGTGTGTGGAGGCAACAACATCAATAGCCAGCATCTCAAGGACCTGAAAACCCAGCTGGGTTGCACTTAAGAATCTCAGTAGTCTTTCCCTCCTCCTTCATATAGACTTCCTGGATTGTTCCCGGAGCTTCTCTGTAGTTTAGTGAATAAATCTGCCTGAGCTGAGTGTGTGGTTCCCACAGATTCTGTGCTTTGAATCCCTCGAGCTACACAACCCTGAAGCAGGTTCTGAGACAAATGACTCCACATCACGGCGAGGGCTGCTGCATCGAACCTTGAAACGCACCGCTCCGTAGAGGAGATGATGTCATTGGCCCTTGTCACATGCTTAGCTGCTTAGTAACTCTTTTAAGAGCCCTTGAGTCCTTCTCTACATCAACATTCACCGAGTCCCTGTCACAGTGTGTGTGAAGATGACATAATGTACCGAGGTCACGCAGCGGTCATGTGACCCAGCCAGGTGCAGACACTACTTTTCAATGTCCCTGGGTTGTGTCAGGGTGGGTGCTGGAGGTGGTGGGGCTGGAGGGGTGGTGGAGTCAGGTCGTGGCCTCCCCTGCACCTTCCCTGGGTGGTCAGGCCCTCCAGCCCTAGGAAATCTCTTAGGAAACAAGATGACGCCAACTCCGTTGTAGCCACAAGGGGGCAGCAGAGTGTCTCCTGAGGGGATGGTAGCCTGTGTCCCTGCTACCCTGGGATTCCCCTTGGCTCTTGCTCAGTCCGGGTTTGCAGAGACTGCAGAGGGGGCTGGCGCCCACCCTTGTCTTTGGGGTCTTCTGAGTCCCCTCACAGCCTGCCAGGTGATAGAGCTTAGCCTGGAGAGTCACAGCTCAGGGTGAGACTCAGTCCCCTGTGGCACATGGGCTGTGCCAGCCTCAGGCAAG